TCCACTGACCATCCTCTCTTCTTCACCTAAAATCAGATGTTGGAAACAAGTGATTACTGAAAATATATTCTGGATCTCAGATGTTATGTGTCTGCTTCAGACTTGGCTCAATTTTTTTTGTTTTTTAAACAAAACTATGTTTATACTATAAAAGAATCGGTCAATCAATCAAACTTTATTCATATAGCACCTTTCATACAAATCAAATGCAATTAAAATTACTTTACAAGACTGACAAAACACAGCATGATAAAAATGGACTGGGAGATTATTGCATACTTAAAACATAATTAACATACAAAATATAAAATGGATATATAAATATCATAAAATAGATTCAAGTCAGATTTTATACACTCCGTAAAGTCAGGCTAAAGAGATGGATTTTTTTTGTCTACTTTCCCACACTATTTCAGGCCCTTTTGAGGCTATTCCAGCAACTTGGAGCGTAATGACTAGATGCAGCATCACCAAAGGTTTTTGTTCTGCTTTTGGAACAGCTAACGTAGCGAAACCAGAGCATCTGAGAAGTCTTTCTGATAAAGTTGTCTAGTACTTTATTGATTAATAATAATAAAAAAAAACATTATCAATGAGAAAATTAGCAGGCAACCAGTTTGAAGGCATTAAGATTGCCATAGTAATTATAGTCAGCACTTGTGCAGCAGAGTTCTGGGTTAATCGCAGCTGATTTATTATGTTCTTTGACAGACCAGAAAGGAGAGCATTACAGTAGTATTATTTTGGTAACAAACTCCATTCATCTACATTATGTGCTCCAACAGCCTTTTCCATCTGCCCACTGTGTTGCTGCACCCGTCGGTGTTCTGACCTCTCTGTTGTTATCTTGTTGTATCCGCTGGCTCATCCCTTGCAGGCCGGGACAGGGCAGGCAGTCGGCCTACAGTCGGTGATGTCATCACCACGCGCCATCCCGACTCTCCATCAACCCCCATCTCTGACTGTGTGTAAGTGAGACCGGACTCGGCTGAGAAATAGGGAGTGTTTGACTGAGAGTGAGTGAATGAATGAGGTTTTTAAAATTTTTCTGTGCATATTCAGATTAGACATGTTGACATGTTTCCCATGAGAGAGCTGGTGTAATACAGAAATCTGGGAGAGAAAGATGAGGACAGAATAGAAGCTAAATGGGCAAAAACTAGAAACGGTACATTTTGATTTTATGCTTTACAGCTGTTTAATTTCAAACTTTTATTTGTTGAAAGTAACATAACTCTAGAATAACACCAGTTTTATGTCAAATTAATTGATAACAGTGACAAATTGTTGACCATCAATTTGAATGACAAATTCAAGGTCAATCACTTGTGATTGAATAATAATATATTGTTGATTGTTAGTTCTAATAAGGTCTGAGGCAAACATAGACACTAACTTTCTATGTTTCAGCCATAAATGTTGTATTTCAGGAAAATGTGATGAATATTGTGAATATTTGTTGTGATATTTTGTACATAATGATGGTAGCAAATGTGGTAACAGCTATGTATGTCTATGTCTGACCAGCAGCACAGCTCCACCTGATACTGACTGGGGTGTTTGCCTTTAATGTAACATCTTTGAAAAACTACTGCAAAGCAAAAAAACATACAATGTGATCAGTTCATCGTTGTCACTTGCCGAGCTGAATTAAACAGGATCTGATGTATCTTATCTCATAATCTATTAAGCTCCTACATGACTGATTGTTTTACTTCAAGCTAAATATTATATTTCATATAAGTGTATTTTTTTAGTGACTTAAGAGGAGGCTCCATCTTTCAACACTTTTATGATTTTTTGATCTTGTAGACAGAACAGGGAACAGTCTGCCCCTGGAAAAAACCCATCAAACAAAACAAATAATTGTAACCAGGAGCCTTATTATCTATCAGGTACTATTTTACATGGTCTAGAAAAAGCTTCCAGATTATGTAAAATGTTTTCAAGGGGCCCTAAATGGAGAATTGCATTTTCTCCAACTTAATACAGTTTAGAACCTCAATGATCCAGTCTTGAAATTTGGGTGGTGTAACATGCTTCCATTTCATGACATTGAGGTGTCTGGCCAATAAAGCAGTGAAAGTGAGACCTCATTACTCAGATAATGGGGACCCGTCCACGGCATAAGTAGGAGATTAGCTGTAGCCCTTACATCTATTTCAGGTGTCTGTATGGTTACTGAACGTCTGTGCTAATTTGGTGTTAGCATAATTAATTCTAAACAGAATTTTACATTGTAAAATACGTGTTGTGGAGGGTGAGTGTGCAAGGTCGAGTGTGTGTTCTTGTCTATTGTCAGAGTGTTATTCCTAAGTCATCCTCCTATATGAGGAAGAGGAGGCTCTTTTTATTCCATGTGAGGTGGTGCTCCTAACTAAGATTGACTGTGGAGTGACTACTGTGTGTGTGTGTGTGTGTGTGTGTGTGTGTGTGTGTGTGTGTTCCTTGAATTGGACTGCCTTCATGACTCCCATGGACTCCATGACTGCAGACTACTTCCATTTAACTGGCCACTCACTGTCATTTTTTGTGCCTCTCACCCTTCTTTCCTCCGACTACACTGTCGCTTCACTTCTACCTTCCTTTATTTACACTTTTTTTTCCATTTTCCTCCCTTTTCTTTCTTTTCTCTTTCTGTCATCTGCTTCTTCTCACACAGACTTGACCAGCAGACCCCGTAGTCCTCCTCAGCCTCCTCCTCTGCCACTGGGCCGGCCCCCGCCCCCAACTCCACCTCAGGAGAGGGGAAACGAGACAGAGCTGGGAGGAGTTGGAGGAGGAGCAACTGTGGGGACAATTGCAGCAACAGGAGGAGGAGCAGGAAGTGGAGGCAGTGGAGGAGGAGTGGAGGACTGGGAGGAGAGGGACAGGGACACTCCTCTTCGCCAACTAGAAGCTGTAGAGGGAGATGAGAGGGATGGAGCGAGGGTGCCCCGAGCCATCGATAACCAGTACTCCTTCTTCTGATGAAGGGAACGCCAGGAGGGAGAGGAGGAGCACATGTGTGCATCTTTGTGTGTATCCAACAGTGTGTGTGTGTGTGTGTGTGTGTGTGAGTGAAAGTGAGATTGGATGAGACGGTGTACATCATAGCCATTCATAACCAGTATTTTTATTTTGTTAGCAAGGTGGAGGAGAAGAGGAGGAGGAGATGTAAAGGTACTAACACTATATGAGAGAGTTAGAGAGAGAGAAGGCTAAGCAGACGGAGAGACGGGTGAGAGCAGCTTTACAACACTAACTAGCGGTACATTTCTTCTCGGTTTTCTAGTCACATAAGCTTTGTTTTGCCGGTATGCCTCACAACAGGCTCTTTCTTATATGTGCAAGTGAACAGTAGTGAGAGCTAGAGCCCTGTGAAGCCAGCAGGCCTAATACCTCACGGTGGTCCTGCCATGATAGCACATGTTAGCCAGAGGCCAAACATACTCTACAGATGTTTCTACTGTGGCAAGCAGACCCGGTACATTACACTCTCACTGATACAGAGACAACATTCAAGCAACATTTATTAAAAGCACTGTAATGGCCTAAAGGTTCCACATGTAGCAAAAATAACATTAATATTACATGATGTTATTGTGTGATTGAATGTATAATAATACTAACACTAATAACAATATATTGATTTACAATGTTTACTGCTTCAGTGCCACATGTCCAATGTGAGTTTGACCCCATTTACACTGAGCCAATTTGTGCATCTTTGCTGGATTGGCTGTCCAGTATCAAAAAAGCCACATGTAAATGCAACTAAGAAGCATCATGGACACACTTTTAAAAGTCCTAAATTCATTTGTCTCCTCAAGACCTATATTTCAATCGTGACTATGTTCTGTGGAAATAACCTCTGCAGGCTGCTAAAATTACATTGAGTTAAATTAAATGACATTAAAATGCTCTGTTATTGTGCCTGTCCAAGATAAGCGGACAGTAAAAATGAAGAAATTGTTTTATGGTGTTTGATATCTGATTCCTGATCAGCTTAATTACTCAAATGCCTTAGTTTTTCTTCTGGTGTTTTGGCCAATACTAAACAGTTGCATGTGCATTGCCACAACCCCCTAGACTGGAGTAGGACTGACTAGAGTGTGGATACCCAAACCAAGCCGGAACAGGACCTGTTGGTACCCATAGGACCGGGTAAATTTAGGCTAGACAACCAGAGCACTCAAATGTCTGCTTTGTTTAAAGGTCACAAATTATGCTTTTTTTCAGGTTTAAATAGTTACTTAAAGGTTATACTAGAAAACGTTTAGACGCTTGTACGTACATTAAGTTCATTAGTTTCCTTAGAGTGCCAGTAGCACCAGACCCTCTTTTCACCTTTCTGTGAACATGCTCTGTTTTTGCTCCTGGCCTCCCACTTTTGTTGCACTTAGGAAGAGTTGTCTAATAGAGGAACACCAGTAACATGTTTACACAACGTTTAGTGCTGTTACAATAATTACTCACAGGAAATTTGGCTTAAAAAAAGCTTCACACAAGTTCTCCAGTACATTCTGACGGTTCATCAATGCTACTAGCCCGAACACTTAACCTGTTTCTGCCATTTGGCTTGTAATACAAGCCACTGTTACCCACCTTACCTGCGCAATATTACATTGTGGCTAAGATAAATAAGCTAATTTCATCCACAAAGCAGTAAAATAACTTTAAAATAGCAACACTTACAGCATCAGGATGTGAGTGAGGTAGACTCACTGACAGTTGGAATAGATCCACTCTTGAGCTTTAGTCTCGAAGTAAATCCAGTGTTGTACTGACCCTTGGTGAGAAAACACTCTGACATGAAATGTTATGTGCCAATCATGAAATGATTGGCACATAACATGCGAAGCTTTAGAGGTATCTTTAGGAACATTTAAACAATAAATATACGATATCCACTGTGTCTTCACTGGCTCTGAAGATGGAATTACATAGAGACATTTGTGCTCATTTGTGCAACCAACACAAACAACTGAGCATAATCCATGCTTTCCTCTGAGCTGTGCCAATCACAGCAGTGGACCGGTAGCGCCAAAAACGGTTCTGAGCGGGAGGAGGATCTGGGAAATGAACTGCTGTGTCATAAAGCGGCAAATCTGAACAGCGTGTTCGATCGGGGGTTTTTACAAATGCTGAAGAAACCAAAACAGGCAGGGACTGCTCTTTTGTCATGTTTTGTGTGTCTCTACACACACCAGAGGACCCATGTGAATGTCAGAAAACACTCTGAAACTGAATTTTGCATAATATGTGTTCTGTAATGATAAGGGGAAAAACACTACAAACTCAACTGCGTCATGCTCGGGACATTATACACTCTAAGCTTGTCAGGTCAGGTTTGGGCGCCACACTCTTGGGTATGGGTCGGATTTGGACAGAAATATGGGGCCCAATCCATACTCTAGGGCTGACCCTGATTTTCATGAGTCAGATTTGTAATCTAGCTAAGTGTGAACAAGTTATATTAACCCGCTTTTGGACTTTATCCACATTCAACACACAAGTGTAAGTGGGGTCACTGTCAAATTAGAGTGACAGAAAAGCCAATAAGACACTAAAGTTGACATCAGAATAGTTTGACAGTTCCATCTGCCAACTAGTCTGTGCCAGGCAAAGAAACCACAAATCATGTAAGCTTCAGGTGGAGAATAAGGGATGAATGGGATGACGATCAGTCCCATTTCAGTGGTGAATGAATATATTATAGTCACTTTTGGGGTTCAGCTGTGGGACTGTGTGTTTGTCCACTTTGTGTATATTGAACATCGGTAGTCCCACTGAACTGAATGTATGTCAAGCTGATATTGAAACCTTTGACCAGTCACTGGCAAAGCTTAAAAATAAGGTACAGGTTGGAAACAGCAGAATTTATTGGTACAACCTCTGAGTAGTAGCTGACAGCTTTATTAATGGTTAATACATTACTTATTTGAGCTGTATAGAGCAGTTATAAGCCAAAAATAACTTTTGGCAGACATGGTAACTTTTTGGTTGGTCTGACAGTAATACAGTTATAAATGTTGGTAATCCTGTTCGAGTCCTAATTGATCTCCTTTCTAATAAGTCATGGGTTTTCAACCAGTGGTCTGTGGTCCATGAAGACATTGCAGGTGGTTTCTGACCATGCATTCAATATTGTAGTTTGACTGTAGGAATCTTTTTTTATATTACTGTTTAAGACGTATTTCCATGTATTACTCATTGTAGGGGGATTATCAAATCCCTCCAAATCTGTACAACTTAGAAAAGCCCAGGTGACTTGTGTTTAAAATAGTGCCCATCCGGTCTATCCGCCCCACAGCTGTGGTCCTTAGGTTAATTCTTTGAATGGTGGTCCCTGGGTCACACTTATTTGAAAACCCCTGTAGTAAGTCAAAGCATTAGTAAATCATTAATTAACTAGTAATAAAGCCATTAGTCACAACTTACAAACCCCATTATAAAGGATGGCAAGCATCGAAATATATTATTTTTAACAGGCTTGTTACTCAGACATTTTTATTAATTTATTAAGTAAAGCCTTATTAAATGATTTAACTGTTAGTAAATGATTTCAAAGGTGAGACAAAAATTCAGTTTTCTGCCATAATAACTTGCATATTAGCAAACATGATCGGGCAAGCATAAACAAACTTTATTGCCAAGTATTATTGAAAATACAAGGAATTATCAAATCAATTTTTTATTAGCACAATCTGTTGGTCACTACTGGTGAGTAGTAGTGAAAAGCTCAGTAGGAAATTAGCCTGAAATTAATCCATTTTTGATCATTTCATTTTTGATAAACAGCTGTTCAGCATAATTGGTTTCAACTTTTCAACTGTAAAAATGTAGTGCTTTTCTGTTTATTATAGTAGGCTGAGTACAATTTTGTTTGGTAGGATACGTCGTACTCTGGCATTTTGTAGACTGTACAATAATTGATACAGATAATCATTGGTTGCATTGTGTGCTGAAGTTCCTACAACCCCAAATCAGAAAAAGTTGTCAGTATGTAAAATCAAAATTATAACTGAAAATAGTGATGTGTAAATCATCTGTCCTATGTTACATTGAAAACAATACAGCAACACATTATTTGATGTGATATCTCTTCAATTTTATTCTTTTTTAAAAATACACACACACTTCTGTTCTAATGCCTGCAATACATTCCTAAAGAACTTGGGACAGTAAAGCATTTACCACGGAGTGATGTTGCTGTTCCTTTTCACAACACTTATAAGATGTTTAGGGAGTGAAGACACCAAGTGATCAAATGTGTCAGCTATGATTTTGTCCCATTATTCATGCAAACAAGTGCTTAAGTTTGCAACAGTCCTGGTTCTTCATTGACGCAATTTGCATTTCAAAATGTGCCACACATTCTCCACTGGGGACAGGTCGGGACTGCAGGCAGGCCAGTCCAGTACTCGCACCCATTTCCTCTGCTCCCCAATAATGAGATAAAAACACACCTGACACGCTTAATCACTTGGCTGCCTCAGTCCCTAAACATCTTTTAAGTGTTGTGAAAAGGAACGGCATCATCACGCCATGGTCAATTCTTTACTGGCCCAACTTTTTTTGGAATGTATTGAATTGAAATCTGTGTTTATTTTGAACAAAGAATAAAACTGATGAGGTATCAAATCAAATAACGTGCTGCTGTATTGTTGACAATGTAAATCAGGACACAGATGATTTACAAAGTACTATTTTCAGTTGTAATTTTGATTTTACATACCGTCCCAACCTTTTCTTATTTGGGGTTCTAAAAGAACATATTTACCATTACACATGCCTCCTTAAAATGACAATCTTTTAAATGGAGTTTGGTTTGATGTTGTCTAAATATAAACAAGAATGTTATGTATTGGGTCTAAGAGGCACATGAACTACAGCAGGCAGGATACATTTACCTCAGTTACACTCTGTGCGTGTCTCTCTCTGTTTCTCTCTCTCTTTTTCTCTCTGATGCAAAAAAGTGGGAACTGGGAGAGATGTTTTCTGTCAGAGAGATGTTGATAATAATGATGGTCAGAATAATAGTATTAATTTTTTTGTTTTTTACGCTTACTCCATGTAACACCTGTTTCAACTCAGTCTTGTAATTCATTTGAAAATGTCTGTGTGCCTTTTTAATTTTTTTGGGATAAAAGGAAGGAAAAAAATGCTTTAATGCCTCATTCTCAAGGCTGCTGTGTCCCTCACTCTCTTTTCACACTGTCTCCTCCTCCTCAGCCTCATCCTCCATTCATCAAGGGTGAAAGAATATGTGCAATTAGCAGAAAATGTCAATGAAAACACCTACTTTTTCTACTTGTGCCTTTCTGTGTTTGTCTTCTTATCAGCCTCTGCCTGCATTTCTCTCGCTCTGTCTTCAATCATCATTCAGTTTGGAATTTGCCTGTTGTCGTTACGAACCACATAACCTACCTACCGTAATTTCTGCCAGTCTTTTCTTTGCTCATGTGTTTGTCTGTATGCACCTTTCACCTCCCAACCATCATGTTCTGTGTCACTTTCTCAGTTTCAATCTCTTTGTGCCTTTCTCTGTCTCTTTTCTCTCTTTGCTGGGACCGTGTGTTGAGGGCGGGCAGTGTTGTCTGTCCACCCTGTGTGGTTAGTTTCAGGTATTACATTGACTTTAATGATAATGATATAAATATAGTGAAACATTGTGGTTTTTCTGTGGTCATTTTCTTCAAGTTTTAAATTTTATCCATTTGTAAGACACATAAACAGAGTGATCATTTTATTAGGTACAAATACTTTGGTCTGAATTTAAGGATAGGTCAAGTTAGTGATCAAATAATTTTGGGTCAGTTTTCAATTGAAAATGCAAAAAAAAATGCACCTTCTCATGTGAATTTTGCCTTTTTTGGTTCTCTTAAAGAGCCCCTGGCATGCTCATTTTGCTCATTTAATATTTAATCTTGGGTACCTCTACATTAGCTTTGCTCATAAGCTCCCCTCATAGCTCAAAATAGTCTGCAATTATTTCAGAATAATAGACCCTCTTCTTAAAAACAAGTGGATAGTTTGTGAAAACACACAACTCCTGCTACCGGTGTTGCATTGAGGTGCAGTAAACCTCAGCAGCATTAATTAATGTGAATGTCTTCTCCATAGAGGGTAAACAACGGTATATGTGCCAATGAAAAGAGATGGGTAACACACTAAACAAAGTGGGTAATTGAGAAACCCCATATTTTAACTGGCATAATGCAGACATAGCAACTTCTCCAGCCTTACAACAATTCTCTCTAACATTACAGAAACAACATTTTTTTTAAACTTACTGTTAAGTCCCACAGAGTAGTGGAAACATCGCTCCCTTTCAAGTAGCTCCAAGGTCTGTAAATCCAACTGGTGGTTGCTGCATCTTCCCCCACACGACCATATACAGTCCCAAAGTAGTGAAACTAATTCCAACAGGTAGCGTAGCTCTGACAATAACATTGATCAGTAATCTGGGGAATCCAGCATTGATGAGCTGATCATTCATCGCCACTGGGGGCTTCACTGGCACGGCCGCTTGTAGGTTAGACCCGGTCAGGTAAACCAGCTAGTCCCTGTACAGGAACATTGCCGGACATGCAGTAACCTCTGGCCTCAGTGCAGCAGCAGGAGGTAAAATATATCCACAAAGTTATGGCCTTTTATGACAAAATCGTTGCCATGATCTAGAGAATACCATTGTTTTGATAATATGTCTTCTTCTTTCGGCAGTTCCCATTAGGGGTCGCCACAGTGAATCATCTGTTTCCACCGAACTCTATCCTTGGCATCCTTTACTCTCACCCTAATTAACTTCATGTCCTCTTTTAGCACATCCATATATCTCCTCTTTGGCCTTCCTCTTGACCTCTTGCCTGGCAGCTCCATCTCCAACATCCTTCTACCAATATAACCACTATCCCTCCTCTGCACATGTCCAAACCACCTCACTGCTACAGTCTCTAACCCATACAGCATAGCTGGTCTCACTACTGTCTTGTACACCTTTCCTTTGATTCTTGCTGCCATTCTTCTGTCACACAACACTCCTGACACCTTTCTCCACCCATTCCAACCTGCCTGCACTCACCTCTTTCCACACTTCCCGTACTCCCCATCACGCTGGACTGTTGCCCCACATACTTAAACTCCTGCACCTTCTTGACCTCAGCCCCCTGTAACCTCACTGTTCCACTTCCCTCCCTCTCGTTCATACACATGTATTCCATCTTACCATGACTGACTTTCATTCTGACTTCTTTCCAGAGCAGACCTCCACCTTTCCAAGTGTTCCTCCACCTACTCTCTGCTCTCACTACAGATCACAATGTCATCCGCAAACATCATTGTCCACAAAGATTCCTGTCTGACCTCATCTGTCAACCTGTCCATCACCA